GGTGACCTGCAGACCCAGGTTACAGACCAGTGAAATGGATTATGATATCCGTTATGACCAGGACGGTGTCTTGTGCATACCATGGTTCACGGCATGAGTAGGTCGGATGTGATAGGCCGCTTTTCATTGTTGCAAACCTAGCTGTGTAGCAAAGCACCGGGATCTTTAAACCCGTGGGCTCCACCGGGGCACTCACTCCTGTTTTCGGCTTTGCGCTCTGGGTTAGGCCCCTGGGGGCGGTGGGCGTGCATTAACGGCAATGATTCGTTGACCTATTGACGTACGTGTGGCGTTTGACAACGATACTGTTGACTGTACCCTTCCGATGACCTCGGCCGGAATCCGTGCGTTGATCCTCACAAGATCGCTTGAAACTGGCGCGACTTAAACTTCCTTGGCACCCATATAGATATGACAAATATCAAGTCGTCGTTATCATCACAAAACAGGAGGTCACAAAAATCATAAAATAGGACGCCATCATAATAACATTACAAAACAAGAGGCCATCACAAAACAGGAGGCCACCAGTCATACCTTGAAATGCTCAGACTCCTCCAGTTGCTCTCGCTGTACTACCGTCGTCGAAGGGGAGACATGGTAACAGTGTACCAGCTGTTTCACCGAGGTATGTCGCTGTCGGAAGAGGAGTTCCCGACAAGGCACAACTCGGAGGTGATAAGAGAACACCAATGAAAGCTCAGAAAACCTGGAGCTAGGACTCGCGTTCATCGTAGCTCGTTCTGCACGTGGGTCGTCAACGATTGGAACGCTCTTCCACACCCGGTCGTGTCGTCAACCTCAGATGAACAATTCGAGTCTAGGCTTGATATGTATTGGGCTGACATTATGTATGATAGCCCACACTGAATCTACCCATGATTTGAGACTGGTTACCGGAACAAGAGCCTGACGAGACCGGGACCTACAGGCCTACTGGTCTTTTATAGTTCCCGACCACCATAAGGTAAGGCAAGGTAAACACTGTTTTACCCGTGATAACGCTCACTACGCCTTCAACCGCGGACAATTTTTAGCATAAATCTTTTCAGATATTGGCTAAATTTTTAGGTTCCCCTCTCTTTGGTAGCCCTTTAAACATCGAAAGTGGCGCAGGTACTGCAATCACACCGTAGTATGCACCAAAACGGGCCTTTGCACTGGCCCGCCCCAAAAAGCTTAGCGAAGCGGAATTCCATGTGTGTGGTATTCCGTTGCTTCCCCTCTGTAATGTGGCCACCAGACTTATTTAGGATGAGCCGGTTTTTGTGCGGGGTTAGTTAGGGAGCTCCGCCTTTATCTGGTGGCGATTGACGCCACTGAAAATGTAGTTGCAATAAATGGTTGTGGCGCGACAACCGAGAAAGTTTGTCACTTGCTCATATTGGCAATGTTTGTGACGTGTTGTTGGTATCATTTCTGTCTCCTTTGTAGATAAACATAAAGCAAACATTTTTGATAGGCCTTAAATAAGTGAAAAAAGAGCAAATATATGCATTTTTGGTGGAAGAATCATAGTTACTAGTTCCTTAAAAGTGATTTGTATTACCATTGATAATACTTTCTGCTTCCTTGGTGTTTTCAAATTTTTACAGTATGCATTTATGTTGTTTTTGTGTTGAAACACAACTTAGTAAAGGCAAGCAAACTGCAAGTATTAGCTCATGCATTTTTGTGCCAACAGGTGTCATTACTTAAGCTGACATGGATTTTCTTCTATTTTAGATGTTTTGTAAGCTTTGCAGATGTTTAGTGTATTTTTCCATGCATCCACATTGACAAATACAATAAAAAGATATGCTAGGAATAAAACCAATGTGCATGTTGCCAAGTCATTGACAGGTGCAGTGAACTGATGAAGACTGTTCACATCCTTACTTTTGCCTACTATGTTCCAGAAAAAAATTGCCATCAGTGCAGGCAATGGCAAGTCCAGTACATGATGAAGATATTGTAAGCAAACTGGAAACACTTGATTTACAGGCTAGCCTCAATGAAGACATAGCCACTGTAAGCATTTGCCAGTTTTGCAGATCACTGTGCGTTGCTGATCATGCTTTCTACACTCAATACATGTGTTCTGCATTTGCATGTCATAAACCTTGATAAGATGCTGAATGTGACTAGTTTGAACAGATCATGTAGCGAGTACCTGAATTATCCAGGTGTGAAAATATTGATAATTTCTGCACAGTTAAGCTCTTTATGAGATGTACATCAATGTTAGAATGTCCAGGCTAGCAGCTACAGCAACTTTTACCATTGTCCTCACATATAACATTAATTATTATTATGGTATCAGGCTTTCAGCAATGCTCTGATCAGTGTGCTTCTTTCAGCTGGATACAGATGAATTTCACCTGCCGCCTGTTGATACACTGCCTACACTGGAGAGCATCCTGGGAGAGGATGTTGGTGCTATTTCTCCTGTCACCAGTGGTCACCACCAGGTGGGTTGGGTCATACTGGACCTGCAGTAGGTGTCATGTGTGGTCATGCAAACCAGCTGTTGTAAAATGAGATGGATGTTTTGCTGTGATGATGCTGTGATGTTGGAAGGATAAATGAGCATATGGTACCAAAAATGTTTCATTCTGTGATGGGATGTTACCTGGAAGGTAGGTTCCCAAATGCTCACCACCCTCTTAACTATGGCAATGAAATAATCGTTAAGCAATCCACAGATTTTGAGCTCTTGTGACATTTTGCTCCAGAATCATTAAAACATTCTCAGTATTGGATTGAAGTAAATTAAACTAGCACCTAACTTATATGATTTAAATGGTCTTTTCTTGTTGTAGAACTTGTATGGCTCATCCCTGTCTCAGAATTGGATTTTGAGGTACAAAAGGCTGGAAAGTACAGTCATTATGAGGCTTAACCTGCAATGTCATTAGTTTAGCAATGCTGTAGAAACATGAAATACTGATGCTACTCTTATGGGCAAAACCCACCCGACCCGACGGTGCGGCGTGGGCGTCCTCCGTCAGCGGCCTCTGGCTCCGTTGCAGGGAGACTCGCAGTCCGAGTCTGGCAGCGTCGGCTCGACCGGCGCCGACAGCGCGCCTACCCACGTGCGCCACAGCCCGCTGGCCGGCATTTCGGCGCAGCTGCAGTCTGCGGCGGTACGTCAGGTGATGGCGCCGGCCCGCCGCAGACGGGCCGGCGGTGCTCGCCGGCACGGTGCGGTGTCCGGCGGTGAGATGGCGTCACTTTGGGCACGCTGTTCGCCATGAATGCACCTACGAAGATTGGGGTATCGCTCTTAGCATGAAACGGCCACCACGTGAAAGCGTGCATGTTTTGGCCTCGAGGTCACCATGGGAGCCGTCAGGTCACCATAGGCCAACCCAAGGGATCGTCGGTGCGGCCTTGGCTGTTATGTTGTTGAAGTACGCGTTGGCCTTTGGTTGTGCTCCCTGTTGTGCTCCCTGTCTGCGTGCCTGGCCACGTGCCTGAGCTGCACCGGCGCGCCGACAGGAGCGCGTGTCCGCCGGGGTGCCAACGGCGCTGGCAGCCGGTGCCGTCATAGCAGTCGGCACCTCGCATGGCCTCTGCCTTGTGTTCGAGATGCACGAGGCCATGCGGTTCTGCCTGGGCGACGTGGCCACCGGCCAGCGGCTGGGTGCCGTCTCCTGCCTGCACTTGTCTCCAGACGGCAACAGGTGGGCCGTGCCGACGACGGCGGCTGACTGCTGCCCGCCTAGCCGTGCCATCACAGCGCCCTGTCTGCCCCTATGCAACCGTACCAGCTGTTAGTCATGCGTTGATGCGTGTTGTTCTTGAGTCATAGCGTTCTTTTTCGTGCTGACTTATGGACCCGTACCATGCCGTTTCTCAGTGACCACGATCTCACTAACTGACGCGTTGTGACGCTATCGTTCTGCCCGGCGCGGCAGGCTGATGGCCGGCTACGCGCGGGGCCAGATCCAGGTGTATGACCTGAACCAGGGCAAGCTGGTGCTCACCATCAACGAGGGCATACCGTGCGCCGCGGCCGTCATTCATATCCGGGTAACTGCACCGGGTCGGGGTCACCGCCGTCACTTATTGCCGCCTAGGTAACCGCCCAGGGAACTAATACTGAGCAGTCACGCAGTGCTTGGCCCCGCGGCAAGTCTTCATAGCCTTAGCATGGACCACAGCAGCATAACGCTCATAGCAAAGCGGCAACATAGGTATCAGGTGGTGCTGTGTGTTGGCGCTGCCCGCGCCGGTTAGCGGTCTGAGCCGACGGGGTATGAACACTGGCCTTGTAGGAGCGGACAGGGGCTCAGTACTTTTCTCTCTGTGGGTGCAGTGAATCCGTCCTGTCGCCTGTTCGGCGACGGTGATGGCGATGGTTGTGGTAGTGGTCGTCGCAGCGCTCGGTTGATCTGACAGTAATGGCACCACAGTTGTTCTGTTGGTGGCTTGTCATGTCTGCTTCCGTAATGGCGGTCGTTGTTTTGTTAAATGTTGGATTTCTGGTTTGTAGTCCACGCCCCGGATAGCCGGTAACCTGGTGACATAGTGGTCCTGCTAAGAGAGCTGTTCCAGTGTATGACAGCCGCGTGTCCGGTACGTCATAGCCGGCCTTGTGGTCGGTGTGTGACGGCCGTGTGGCCGGTGTATGACGGTCTTGTGGTCGGTGTGTGACGGCCGTGTGGCCGGTGTATGACGGTCTTGTGGTCGGTATGTGACGGCCGTGTGGCCGGTGTGTGACGGCCGTGTGGCGGGTGTGTGACGGCCGTGTGGCCGGTGTGTGACGGCCGTGTGGCCGGTGTGTGACGGCCGTGTGGCCGGTATGTGACGGCCGTGTGGCTGGTATGTGACAGCCGTATGCCCGGTGTGACGGCTGTGTGCCCGGTGTGTGACGGCCGTGTGCCCGGTGTGTGACGGCCGGCCGTGCCGCCAGTTCACCGACTGGCCGGACGTGGCCGTGTTCAGCGACAGCGGCGGCTCGGTGTTCGAGGTGCGCCTGCGCCGCTCGCTGGGCCGGCGCTCGGCCGACGCGCGCTGCCTCTTCTCCGGCAGCCGGGGCGAGGTGGTGACTGTTGAGCCGCTGCCCGCCGCCGACCACCCCACCCACGCGCTCCACCAGCACATGCTGGTCGCCATGGCGACCATGTCTAAGGTGAGGCGGTCGCGCGTGGCGCTCGATGCGGCTGGCTTTGTGTCAGTGTTGGCGGCGGCGGTGGCAGGTAGGTGTTTTGCTCACGGCTGCGCTGGCTAGCCGCGCACCTTCGTCTGACCAAACTGTTGGTAGTTACGTCTTACCGTGGCGGCGCACGCACGTTGCCCGTTAAGCTTTCAGAGTTTCCGCCGTCGTTGTAGCATATGTATTTAGTATTTTCAACCTGTTGATATCACAGGGGATCGTTTTGATGGTGATATGTCGTGAGTGCGGTGCCGAACAACTCTACAGTGAATATTGAAATCTCTTAGTGTTGTCTGCTTCGTCGGTTGTCACCTGAACGTGCAAACCTCTCCACGGCGTAGACGACCACGGCGGATCGGTCAGTCCCAGAAGTAGCCGCGATTGCCCTGAAGGGCGATGTCGACGATGTCTTGGGACGCCGACCAGCGGACGGCGCCGTCGTCTGACCCGCCGCCGCCCCGCCAGGTGATCGTGGTCAGTGTGCGGCCGCAGCTGCGTGTGCTGTTCACCCACCCGCTGGAGGCCGGACCGTTGCACGTGCCGCTGCTCGACTGGCAGTTCGTCGTCATCCGGGTCAGCAGCGGCGTTAACATGGTCGACCCCGTGCTCACCTTCGCCAGGAAGTCTACTGTGTACTTCTACCAGGTGCGTCTTGAATGGTCTGATTTTGCCCCTTTCGGTCGTTTGCTCGCAGAGGCTTAGCTGAGATCGCTGTCTGAGGGAATGTGACTCGGGTGTCGAAGCTAGATGCTTCCGTTTCGCAGTAAAAAAAGTTGTGGTGTGGTGCGGATGTTTGGGGTCATAGTGACCCAGTGATCTCAGCGACCTTTGTTTACGAATATACAAGCGTATCTTTCAATACGCTTGTATTTCTTATCAAAATCTTATCTTATCTTTCGCCGGCTGCTGGATGGCTGCCGCTATGCTGTGACCGTTTGCCGTTTGTTTTGCGTCCGGCATCGACTATGTCGGTCACGCACGGACAGCTCGCGATTGAGGAAGAGCAGCCCCTTGACGTCTGCCAGCGCCTTGACACCCGGCCGGCCAGGAGCGCGGCGGCCGACCGGCCCGCTGACGGCCGCGCCGGCGTCGCCAGGTGTGCTGTCCGGCGGAGCGGGTCAAGTTCGTGCCGCTGCAGTGGGTGGAGTTCCCGTTCTTCGTCCAGAACCTGCACTGGATCAGCGCGCGCACGCTGGCGCTGATCGACGGCCAGGAGAAACTGCACCTGTGGGACGTGCGCGGACAGCAGCAGCTCGAGGTGCGACCCGGCGCGCGCCGCCGCCGGGCAGACACCCCGAGCGACGGCGGGTACAGTGAATGGTGCTAGGAAGCAGCTATAGCAGGGTTCGTGGGGCAGGGTAACTGTTGCTTGCGTACTGAGTCGTGTATGCCTTCTTGGCGTGTGATTAGCAAGGGGTTATTGGAATAAGTTTCGGTTAAAGAGGCGAGTTGTGATTGGCAATCCAATGTGAGGAAACTTTATATCCACTTGCTAGCAGTGGGAGTTATTAAATATCCACTGGAGTTATCGAATATCCACTTAAATATTACTGTTCATCGACAACATATGAGCCATGGTCCATGCAAGTCCACGAACTAACCATGCAGACGTCTCCAGCCAGTTGTGGCGATGGCGCAAGTCTAAAAATGTACTGTCAGCCCTTTGTAGTGTCCAGAGTGGCTTACCAATGGCAATCATAAACGGAGTGGTTAGAGTTGATCCTATGGCATGCTGCGCCACTGGTTATCCCGTTCATATATAAATGACTGCCAGGCGTGCATGAATGCCATACATTGTTTCATGCAGTTTATGATGTGATGCTTCTGTTAGTGTGCGATAGTATGTGTATATTTGTGTTATGATGATATGATAAGGAAAGGCCAACAGAAGCTGTTCTTTTTCGTCGTTCCCAGTAATAAGGTTGGCGTGACAATCAGATACCAGGCGATGTTGGTAAACTTGCGAGGTGTGAAAACTGAAAAAGAAGTAAACCTTCGTTAATGAGTGTGAATTTCACTGAATTGAAAACACATGGTGGAAACAAGCACAAAATAATTACGCGATTAACAATCCTGATGCTCAATGTGCTTACTAATAGTCTGGTCGACTAGAAATCGATCTAAATTTGAGCTTGCCAATCACGGACCTGGTGCCGAACTAAACGTCAGTACTCGAGGGGGTTGGAGAAGGCTGTCGTTCCACCTCCAGTTCCGTCGGCTAAAACCGATGATTGCACATGTACTAGAAATATAAAAGATGCAGATGCTGGAACGCGTCGCGAAAAAGTTGTATTCAGAAAACGTATTGTCTCGTGTGTTGTCGGCTCGTATTTACGTTATGATCTCGTCACAGATGATAATATGACGTCGTTTCAGACATTGGATCTCAGTTTTGTGAAAATGGTCTATTCCACAAGCTACTTCAAAGGGCTGGCAACGGGAGGAAACGTCAGCAAGGCAATGGTGAGCAGCGGAATGATCACTGAACGGTAACCCACGATCTCCACCGCATGACCATAAGAAGGGGAAAAATGGATACCAGAGTTCTCACGTGAATCTTTGGTAATCCAAATGTTGGTTGGCCGGGTGTTGCGTATCCGTGTATGCATATGAGTTTTGTGCGAGGCCATTTCGCAAATTTCTGTTCGATCTTATCTGTATTACATCATCTCCTGTTTGCTTGGGGTTGCACGCACACATCTATGCAAGCCTGTATGCGTCAATGCATTGCACGGAGAGACGTGCACGCGCACATGCCGAGTCAAGATCCAGACCGTTCTGCCCGGCACCGAGTGCTGTCCGTCTGCCGACAGGCTGTGGCCGGCGAGAAGGCCTGCTTTGAGTCGTGCGCCGTCTCCAGCGGCCAGCTGCTGCTGCTCGGCACGCGCGGCGTGCACGTGGTGACGCTGCGCACGTGGCTGGAGCGGCTGGAGTCGCACGTGCGCGCCGGCGAGTTCGCGGCGGCACTCCGGCTGGCGTGGGGCATGTACACCGAGCAGAGTCCGGCGGCGACCGGCGCGCGCGCCGCCTCCGGTCGCCGACAGGCCATCATCAAGGAGCGGGTGCGTGGGTGCGCTGGCGCCACAACCGGGGGTCTGAACGCATTCTGTTGTGCCGGATGGCATGCCAGTTTGTAGCAGCAGATGTTTGCCAGGCGATTGTCGCGTATGGTGCTCTGGCGCCGGGACTCGTTTTCGCTCCCATTTCTTGTCTTGGCTGCTCTGTGTTTTCTGCGTCTTTGCTTGCTCTCCTCGCCTTCGTTCATGTGTCAGTCGGAGCCGCCTCTTGTTCGGCCGGACCCGGTGGCTGCTGCGCGGCGTGACTGGTGCCTGTCGTGCCATCTCCGCCGCCACCCCTCAAGGTGACCTTCCGCCTGCCGCCGCCAGATGCTGTCGCTGGTGGACGAGTGGCTGCTCTTCTGTCTGGCCGCCGACCAGCGGGATCAGTCGCTGACCCAGGCCCTGCCCACCTGTGTGCAGTACCTGCTCGACCTGGACGAAAGGTAGTGCCGCGTTGCCCGGCCCGCCTTCCAAACGGCGCTGTGTGGCGGCCCGGTGGGGTCATCAGCAGTGAATACGCGTGTGACTTGTGAGAGGCCCGATTTCCACTGCAGTTTGCCAGTCACTTGCGCTTCGCTTGCAGCACGGGCTTTCCGTTTGTCCATCATTGATGGATGTGGCACTGTTTGTTCGTTATTTATGTTCCGTTGGGGCGACACTAGCGCGCTGCCTATACCCAGCGAATCACAGCGTGTCTGCGAGGTATGTGCTGTTTGTCATCAATTCAGTATTGGTTGTGTTCGCTGTCGATATGCTGTTTGTCGTTCACTGAACCCCCTGCGCGTCGGCCAGTGCGGTGCTGTTCGGCCGTATTGTGGGTCTGCTGGAGCCAGAACCGGCCGCGTATCAGCTGTTGCTGGAGGCGCTGCTGCCGCACATCGTGTCCGGCCGGCTGACGGCGCCGCCGCCGCTGCTCATGCAGCAGCTGGTGACGCACCTGGAGCACCAGGACCAGCTGCAGGTGCGTGGCGCCCCGTCGCTGGTGTGCGGTGTGTGCTGGACCCGCGCCAGACGGCGTGAGCGGGGGTGTGGCGGTGGACTGCGGCCAGCCGGCGGCGCGGCGGGCATGATCACGCCGCTGCGCCCAATAAGCGTCTGGTGCGGCGGATAACGGCCAGTGGTGGTGCGTTTTGTCCCATTCTCGGGCCTGGTGTCGGTTTGTGCAGTGTAAAGAACGTGGTTGCTGGTCGGGAGCTGCGTGACCAGCGCGAACGATCCCAGAGGCGACCATGCCCGCACCAGCCGGGCCGACTCAGGTCACAGTTGCTCGGCCTGGTCGACGGAGAGGTCACGGGCTCCACCGGCCGGACGTTCCAGTGGCGCATCCGGCACTGGCCCGGCGGCGCACACAACATGACGGCGGCGCCGCACGTTCAGCTGTGGTCCGTGCAGTGTCCAGTGATGGTCGGCTGAGGCCGTGCCGCGTCCGACAGGCGCTGCAGGAGTGTCTGGTGCGGGCGTCCAGCCGTGGTCCGTGCAGTGTCCAGTGATAGTCGGCTGAGGCCGTGCCGCGTCCGACAGGCGCTGCAGGAGTGTCTGGTGCTGGCTTCCAGCAGTAGTCCGTACAGTATTCAGTAAGGATCGACTGAAGCCGTGCCGCGTCCGACAGGCGCTGGAGGAGTGTCTGGTGCGGGTGGAGCTCGGGTCGCTGGACATACACCAGGTGCTGCCGCTGTGCTGGCGGCGCGGCCTCTACGACGCCATCATCCGGATCCACACGGCCGGCATGGGCGACTACCTGTCGCCGCTGCTCGAGCTGCTGGACCGCCTCAGTCAGCTGCTGACGGACGGTACGGGACCAGGGAGGGCCGTCGCTGTCGCTGTCGCCGTTCCATCGCCATCACCATCACTATCACCATCATCATTACTATCATCGTCACCATCATCATCAACATTACCATCACCATCACCGTCACCATCAACACCACCATCACCATTACCGTCACCATCAGCATTAACATTACCATCATCTCACTATCACCATCACCATCCCCATTACCATCACCAGCACCATCCTCATCCTCATCCTCATCCCCATCCCCGTCCCCGTCCCCATCCCCATCCCCATCCTCATCCTCATCCTCATCCCCATCCCCGTCCCCGTCCCCATCCCCATCCCCGTCTCCGTCCCCGTTCCCCGGGGCGGAGCGGCTTGCGGACCGGTCCGGCCGTGCGGTACGGAGGCAGAGCGACTCTGCTGGAGATTGTATGGGTGTCCGTGCCAATAAGGCGCCCATGACGTCATACCGGTGGGTACACGGCGGACGGCAGTACTGGCGCCGTGACTCCCCGGTGGGAACAGCCCCATGTCATGGCGAGCAAATGCCGCGCTGATTCCTTGCGAGACTCCTTCGTCTTCGTCCGGGCTGCGCTACATCCGCCGCAGCAGCGTATCACGAGCGCAGTTGAGGCCGGGGTCTCGGCGCCGCGGTCGCTCCACTTGATATGCGTTTCGCGCCCGAGTGCTGGTCTGCCCCGGCCGCAGGCGCCCCTCTGATGGACGGCCAGGCGCAGCTGGGCAACAAGCTGCTGGTGTACATCTCGAGCTGCCTGGCGGGCCGCGGCTACCCAGCCGGCCAGATCCCGGCCGAGCGCGTGCACGACGTCAAGCTGGCCGTGCTCAGTGCGCTCACGGCCGTCCACTCAAAGAACGCGGCCGACGCCGAGCCGCCCTACCCGCACCTCAGGTCAGCAGGGTCACGGGTCCCGCACCTCAGGTCAGGAGGGTCACGGGCCCTCATCTCAGGTCAGGAGGGTCGCAGTCCCGCACCTCAGGTCAGGAGGGTCACGGGCCCTCATCTCAAGTCAGGAGGGTCGCAGTCCCGCACCTCAGGTCAGGAGGGTCACGGGTCCCGCACCTCAGGTTAGGAGGGCCACGGCTCCCTCATCTCTGGTCAGGAGGGTCACAGTCCCGCACCGCAGGTCAGGAGGGTCACGGCTCCCTCATCTCAGGTTAGGAGGCCCACAATCCCGTACCTCAGGTCAGAAGCGTCACGGGCCCCGCACCTCAGGTCAGAATGGTAGCGGGCCCAGCACTTAAGGTCTGGACGCCCACCGGATCGCACTCCGATCTAACCGTAACTAATCACGAAGTTTGCTTCCGGAATTGTTGAAGATTCTGCCGACGGACCTCCCATCCGGCGTCTAGGTTCATGCTTCCGCTTACGTCTGGTCTGTGCAGCTGAAAATTGGAGTGTCGCCGGGCTCTGACGTCACGGGTGCTGTGTTACCTGAGCGTCGTGTGGCCTCTCGCCGAGCTTAGCCTGATGCTGTCGCAGGACGCTGCTGACGTTCGACACCCGCGAGTTCCTGAACGTGCTGTCGCTGTCGTTTGAGGAGGATGTGTTCACATCGGAGCTGGGCATGCGCCAGCGCCAACGCATCGTCGACATCCTGCTCACCCTGATGGTGGACCGGGAGGAATACTCGGTGCGGAGCTGCCGCCGTCGTGTACTGCCGGCCCGGGCTGGCTGCTTGCTGTCACCTGGCCCGGTGCCGGCCAGCCAGCACTGTGATACGCCTCACTCACCTGTGGAACTGTGACAGGAAACTGCTCACGCCATGCGTTGGCTGGGGGATCAAAGCAGATGTCGAGCGCAGGCTGCTGGTTGTATTGGTGGTCATGCATGTTTGCAGAACTTACCTTGGTTTCTGATATGATACGGAAACTTCGTCCATGTGTGAGTGAAGCGCAGTGCGTCATTGGGAACTGACATTTCTTACACGCCACGCGTATTTGACGTGCGCACCATAGACTGACTGCAGGGGTGCGTTAGGCGGCCACCTCCGCTGCCGCTGATGCCGTGCCGTGTGTGGGGCGGTCAGAGGTGGGGGTCTGCCTGTGGGACACCGCGGCGCCGCCCTCCCGCGTTAGGCGGCCACCTCCGCTGCCGCTGATGCCGTGCCGTGTGTGGGGCGGTCAGAGGTGGGGGTCTGCCTGTGGGACGCCGCGGCGCCGCCCTCCCGCGTTAGGCGGCCACCTCCGCTGCCGCTGATCCCTGCCGTGTGTGGGGCGGTCAGCAGTGGGGGTCTGCCTGTGGGACGCCGCGGCGCCGCCCTCCCGCTCACAGCTCCGTCTGGCCGGCAGCCCTCGCAGCTGGGCTCCCTCTTCACCTTCATCGCTCGCCAGATGGCGCTGCCCAACAGCACCGTGTCCGTGTCGCGCGATCTCTTCGATAAGGCGAGTGCGACCTCCGCGCTGTCCCGTGTCCCGTGAGTCCCGTGCGGTCGCGTTGACGTTGTCGGCGCTTCGTGCCTAAGGAAACATCCAGCCTTGTGTTTTCCTGCGTGCGTGCGTGCTGCGTGCGTGCGTGCGTGCGTGCGTGCGTGCGTGCGTGCGTGCGTGCGTGCGTGCGTGCGTGCGTGCGTGCGTGCGTGTGTGTGTGTGTGTGTGTGTGCGTGTGTGCTGTCGGTGCATGCTTCCTGTTTCGAACTGAGTTTGGCGATGTCTTAATGCGCGCACGACATTGGCAAACTGTTGCTGATCACACCCGTTATGATGGGGGGGGGGGGGGGAAGGGGCAGCATATTAAGACTCGTACCGTCTCTCGTCGCGCGCTCCCGGCAATGGGTCGGGGCAGGTGGCTGTCGTCTCCGCGCGGCCGGCCGCGGTACGTGCGGCCCCTGACGCTCGCCCACTGCTCCAGGTGGTGGACCACCTGACAGTGCCGGGCGACACGGCGCACCACGAGGAGCGTCAGCAGGCCCTCTGCGAGCTCATCTCCACCGGCGTGCTGGAGCATTACGACACCGAGCGGCTGGCACAACTGGCCGAAAAGGCCAAATTGTAAGCTTAACGCTGGCCGCTGCAGATAGCTGAATGGCTGTCATGGCTGGCAACCCACCAGATGCTTGGTGGCCGTCATTGCGCTTTCTAACGTGATTTATGTTCGGCTGCTTAGTGGCCAAACATGAGTCATATGCATTGCGCCGTTGCGGGGTCTCCGAGTATTACAGTACTGGCCGGTATCTGCCACTTGGGCGCCGTACAGCGGCGTATCTGACCGTGTCGGCTGCTCCTGTACTGTACAGCGGCGGGTCTGACCGTGTCGGCTGCTCCTGTACTGTTCAGCGGCGGGTCTGACCGTGTCGGCTGCTCCTGTACCGTACAGCGGCGGGTCTGACCGTGTCGGCTGCTCCTGTACCGTACAGCGGCGGGTCTGACCGTGTCGGCTGCTCCTGTACCGTACGGCGGCGGGTCTGACCGTGTCGGCTGCTCCTGTACCGTACAGCGGCGGGTCTGACCGTGGCGGCTGCTCCTGTACCGTACAGCGGCGGGTCTGACCGTGTCGGCTGCTCCTGTACTGTCCAGCGGTGAATCTGACCGTGTCGGCTGCTCCTGTGCCGTACAGCGGCGTATCTGACCGTGTCGGCCGCTCCTGTACCGTTAGGCGGCGTATCTGACCGTGTCGGCCGCTCCTGTGCCGTTAGGCGGCGTATCTGACCGTGTCGGCCGCTCCTGTGCCGTTAGGCGGCGTATCTGACCGTGTCGGCCGCTCCTGTACCGTTAGGTGGCGTATCTGACCGTGTCGGCTGCTTCTCTACTGTACAGCGGCGGGTCTGACCATGTAGGCCGCTCCTGTACCGTTAGGCGGCGTATCTGACCGTGTCGGCCGCTCCTGTACCGTACAGCGGCAGATCTGACCGTATCCGCCGCTCCTGTACCGTTAGGCGGCGTATCTGACCGTGTCGGCCGCTCCTGTACCGTTAGGCGGCGTATCTGACCGTGTCGGCCGCTCCTGTACCGTTAGGTGGCGTATCTGACCGTGTCGGCTGCTTCTGTACTTTACAGCGGCGGGTCTGACCATGTAGGCCGCTCCTGTGCCGTTAGGCGGCGTATCTGACCGTGTCGGCCGCTCCTGTGCCGTACAGCGGCGGATCTGACCGTGTGTGCCGCTCCCCAGCTACGCCATCTGCCAGCTGCTGTACGAGCGGCGCGGCGAGCACGACCGCACGGCCGGTTGTATGCTGCGGCACGCGGCCGGCCGCGGCGCACTGCACCGCTTCCTGGCCGACCGAGCGGCGGCCGAGCGGGCCGGCGCGGCCGGCGCGGTCCGGCCGCCCCGCGACAGCGCCTCCGTGGCGCTCAGCCTGCTGACGGTGAGCCGCCGCACGGTCTGCGGTCGGGGCTGGGCCCGCCGCCGTCCGGCCGCCCCGTGACAGCGCCTCCGTGTCGCTCTGCCTGCCGACGGTGAGCCGCCGCGCGGTCTGCGGTCGGGGCTGGGCCCGCCGCCGTCCGGCCGCCCCGCGACAGCGCCTCCGTGGCGCTCAGCCTGCTGACGGTGAGCCGCCACACGGTCTGTGGTCGGCGCTGGGCCCGCGGACGGAGCGGGTGCTGGTCCCTGGTTGGATCGCCCCAGCAAGGTGGGCGCGGCTGGGCGGTGATCACGACACTGAGGCCAGCAAGTCCCAGAATTGTGTTATAAATGCGCGTTTGGCTGATTCATCTATGCAGTGTGATTGGCTGCCTAGACCTATTGTTCCGTTGATGTGTGAAGTCCTTGCATCTCGCGATGGCTAATGCATATTCGTCTCTAGAAGGTCGCCGCCACGACCTTGCATGTTAATAAAGGTTCCCCTGCAGCAGTGTGACTGCTTCTGGGTGTGCTGCTATGTAGCTGGTCACGAATTGAGGTATTCGTAAGGCTTTTTCGCGTCATGCCCACGGGTTTTTCTACTCATCCTGTAGTGCACACACACGGGCGGTGTCGTGTCCCTGCAATGCACAGCACAGTGCCAGTTCTGATTGTGGCCGCACCGCGCCGCCGCTGGCCGCGTCTCCGTGGGGGGCCGCGTGTGACGGCCGGTTCGGCCACAGGAGCTGGTGGAGATCGGCGTGGCGGCCACGGCCACGCTCTTCACCACCTGTCTGTCGCGACACCTGGAGGCGGCCGTCCAGACGCTGGCTCCGTGGCCTCAGCAGCAGTACCGCTTCCTCGGCGCCGTCCTGCAGCAGAGGTGGGTCCCGCTGTCGCTCCGCAGCAGAGGTGGGTCCCGCTGTCGTTCTGCAGCAGAGGTGGGTCCCGCTGTCGTCCTGCAGCAGAGGTGGGTCCCGCTGTCGTTCTGCAGCAGAGGTGGGTCCCGCTGTCGTCCTGCAGCAGAGGTGGGTCCCGCTGTCGCTCTGCAGCAGAGGTGGCTCCCGCTGTTGTTCTGCAGCAGAGGTGGGTCCCGCTGTCATCCTGCGGCAGAGGTGGGTCCCACTGTCGTGCAGCAGAGGTGGGTCGCGCTGTCGTCCTGCAGCAGAGGTGGGTCCCGCTGTCGTTCTGCAGCAGAGGTGGGTCCCGTTGTTATCTCGCAGCAGAGGTGGGTCCCGCTGTCGTCCTGCAGCAGAGGTGGGTCGCGCTGTCGTCCTGCAGCAGAGGTGGGTCCCGCTGTCGTCCTGCAGCGTGGGTCCCGCTGTCGGTCTGCAGCAGTGCCTCTGCTGTGTCCCCGCCGTGACGCCTGAGCGCTGCCTGGTGTCAGCCGGACCGGCCGGGGTGTGAGGGCTGCGGACAGGCGCTGGCGGCCGGTGCTGTGCTGGGCGCCGCCCGGTGGTTGCTTGTCGCGGCCAGCTCCAGCTGCGGCGCTTCAGCTCTTGGGCCGTGACCGATGTTCAGGCGTTATGTTAGTCCCCGTGTCGTGCTGCCCTTCAGGATCTGTAGGCGTACGAGCAGTTTGGTGCGTGGTAGTTTGGAACGCGTACGGTTGGGAGTGGGAAGCTTTCGGACCCGTCCGCCGTCAGCTCCACTGCGACTCCGTTTTCTATGTGTCAGCCCCTCTCCTACGGGCGGTCCACTATCGTCGGATCCAGTGTGCTGCCGCTGTCTACCCACCAGCCCCTCTGACCATTGGTCCGGCGTGCCGTCAGTTCCAGCGTACTGCCGCTGTCTACCCACCAGCCCCTCTGACCATTGGTCCGGCGTGCCATCAGTTCCAGCGTACTGCCGCTGTCTACCCACCAGCCCCTCTGACCATTGGTCCGGCGTGCCATCAGTTCCAGCGTACTGCCGCTGTCTTCCCACCAGCCCCTCTGACCATTGGTCCGGCGTGCCGTCAGTTCCGGTGTGCTGCCGCTGTCTACCCACCAGCCCCTCTGACCATTGGTCCGGCGTGCCGTCAGTTCCGGTGTGGTGCCGCTGTCTACCCACCAGCCCCTCTGACCATTGGTCCGGTGTATCGTCAGTTCCAGTGTACTGCCGCTGTCTACCCACCAGCCCCTCTGACCATTGGTCCGGTGTGTCGTCAGCTCCGGTGTACTGCCGCTGTCTACCCACCAGCCCCTCTGACCATTGGTCCGGTGTGTCGTCAGTTCCGGTGTGCTGCCGCTGTCTACCCACCAGCCCCTCTGACCATTGGTCCGGTGTATCGTCAGTTCCAGTGTACTGCCGCTGTCTACCCACCAGCCCCTCTGACCATCGGTCCGGTGTGTCGTCAGTTCCGGTGTGGTGCCGCTGCCTTCCCACCAGCCCCTCTGACCATTGGTCCGGTGTGTCGTCAGTTCCAGTGTGGTGCTGCCTGCCTCCGTGCACCGGCGGCATCTGGACCTGATGTGCCAGCTCGACCAGGACCAGGTGGTCCAGTTTCTCAGCAGCCAGGACATGCTTGATGTCGAACAGTACCTGCAGGTATGTTTCAGTGCCCAGATACAGCTGTGCCTGCTAGCATGTTCAGTCTAACTTTATGTCTGTGTTCCCTGTTCAAGAGTTTGAACCTGTACGCGCTGGTCCAAATAGCGTACCTTGTCTTGCTGCTACCATCTCGTCTAATGCTCTTTTACAGATTTGTCAGAAGGCGGGCAACAAAGAGGGGGAGGCCTACCTGCTGGACCTGAAAGGCGACACGGTGGCCGCCTTGGGGGCTCTGGTGGACGGCCTGGACGGCCTCGGACAGGTGAGCCATTCCTTTGCTTTGACCCCGACAGTGATGAGAAAACAGCGCCATACCGTAGGCACCAGGACGTAAGATCGCTGTGATCAGCGGGGGTGACGCGGTCACTCTGCGACCAATGAAGATGTTACGTGGCTTCGTTGTGTGGGACGGGGGGGGGGGGGGGGGGGTGGGGGGAATCCGTGCATAAGCGTGACTTCGTGTTTAGTCTGTGGTCGATGTGTGACCTAGAGCTAGTTGAGGGGGGGGGGCTGGCATGGGGCAGCGTCACCATGTGAGACAGGTGGGCCGTGCGAGTGTCATTCCGCCGCCAGTGAGGCTATCTCATGGTTCCGCTTATGTCAGTACTGGATCTACACAATCTCCTCCAGCTGAGCCCTGGAGTGCGCCTGTGTGTCCGCGCGGCGCGGCTTGAGGGCCGCCGTCAGTGGCTCGGCAGGTGCGTCCCCGCCGCCAGTGGTCCGGCAGGTGACGTCAGCCCGTGTGTCCCGGCCGACAGGGGGACGGCGGCCGGCCGGAGCGGCGCCTGAAGGCCGCCGTCCGGCTCTGCCAGCGCTCGTCCAGCCGGCTGCCGGACGCCGAGCGGCGCCGCTGCTGGTTCTCGCTGCTCGACTGTGCCGTCGCTCTGCAGCGCACTGACGGCAGAGGTGAGGCGCCGCCGGTCGGAGACGCACCGCACCGATGGCACAACCCTGACTGTATATGGTGTGGCCGTTCGAGTGGGGAGGAGGGCTGTCAAGAATGCATCCATGATATTGACACTGCTTCTTAGTCCGATCACCGGTGTTTTTTAACGACACCATTGTGGTTTAAGCAAACTCGGATTAATATGTGTTTTTCCACTGTCGTACTCGTCAGTTTCCCGAGATTAGCCGATGTGAATGTAATTTTGCGACCCTATTTCTAAATCGGGCGTCCGTAGCTGCCAGGCGGCGTTGTTCATCATCTCGTTGTCCACCTGTCGGTGGTGCTAACGGCGCATGGTCGGCCTTCCCCAGAGACGCTGGTGCCGCTGGTGGCGGGCGCAATGATCGGCCACGTGCCGCTGCCGGACGTCATGCGCCGCCTGTTCCAGGAGCCGGCCTACTCCAGCAGGGAGTTTGGTCACCTGCGCCCGCTGCTCACAGGTGCGTCCGTCCGTGGTTGCCGCGGTCGTCCTCGATGTCTGCGCCTCCGTCACTCCTCGTCAGGCCGTCGCGGTGCGCCTCGCTTGATATGTCTGGACCTCTCGCCGTGCATCCCCGACCCATCTCTTGCTCCATTTCATTTCTGAATCACCCACCGACTGTCGTACCGTTCACCGCGCCACTTCCTCGTCAGTCGTGTCGCCGAAGTGGGTCTGTCAGTCTGCCGCTTGAAGACAGATAAAGAAGGCATCATTAACGCACACCTCAGCTGCGTTCGATAAAGCCTACAATGCGGGTACGTTCGCCGGCAGACCTGCTGCGCACATGCCAGTACGAACGCGTGCTGTGCGACAGCGCGCGCCGCATCGTGCAGGCCGACACGTGGCACGGCCACCTGCAGAAGCGGCGCGCCTGGAGCCGTGGCTACGGCGCGCCCGAGCGGTGCCACGTGTGCGGCCGCCGGCCCGATCTGCAAGCGGGACAGATGATCGCCTTCAGGTCAGACCGGACGCGCCTTTGCCGGGGTGGCCCACGGCGATGTCAGATGCCGGGTCAGTGTCATTTAGTGGCGAATCTCTTGGCACGAAGCTAAACAAGAATTAGCGTTGGTGTGTTTGTGTGGATATTGTCGTGCGAATCGGCAGCTGGAGCGCAGCTGGGATCGGAATTGCCGCCGAACTTGGTTCTTTTGCATAGATCCCCGTCTGTGGACACTTTAGCATATCTATGAGTATGCAGTACCAGATGCCACGCCACCGACGCCTCCGCTGAACTCGCAGCACCCTCTCGGCTGACCACCACGGCCCCCATGCGCTCGCAGGTGTGGCCACTTTTGCCATCCGGGCTGCGCGCCGGAGCGGCCGAGCGGACGGCCGTGCGCCGTGTGCGGGGACCGGGCCCGTCCGGTGCCGTCCCCCGACGACGACCCCGGCCGGCCGACCTCGCCCGACCCCGGCGGCCCGGCGCCGGCCGAGGCGACCTGAGGGGCCGCTCAGCGAGACTGCCGAGTTGACACCACTGCCGGCGCCGGGTGTACGGCTGTGGTGGGACCGCTGCCTGCGCCGGGTGTACGGCTTTGGCGGGACCGCTGCCTGCGCCGGGTGCACGGCTGCGGTGCGACCGCTGCCAGGGCCCGGTCCACAGCTGTGATGGGACCGCTGCTGGGGCCGGGTGTACGGCTCTGGTGGGACCGCTGCTGGGGACCGCGCGTTTTGTGCATGGATTGTTGCGACTAGCTTAACGTTAACGCTACCGACTACTTATTGGGTCAGAAATGTGCGGTAAAGTTATTCGAGTTTAGTAACCGATGTGCTTACTCGAGATGCAGATATCAGGGAACAAGACGCAGAGCCCTTGAAAATGTTGTACAGCGTGCAATGTCCTTGGTGGCGATTCCACGTGTTACCATGTACGTGATATGGCGTCCCGAAGAGGTACACAATATTTTGTTTGTTTTCGCTATATTGTGAAGATTGTGTTTATTATGCTTTGGTTCGCGGAAGTGTTAACGAACGACGTCTACATGACATACTAGCGCAGCACGAGAATGGTGCAACACGCACATTCTCGCCCACCATTATCTATGGATATTGTTTTGTGTATCGTGTAAAACAGCATCCAGCATCGATACTCATGTATGCGTCAGAGGATGATCCGTATGTTGTTTCGCCTTGTGCTGAGAGGGCTGGATGCTTTGTTCATGCAGGAGGTGTCTGCATTAGGATGGCCTGCCATCCACGCTTGCCCGATCGTTTACCGTTGCAAGGCACCAACAAAGACATGTTTTGCGCATGATTGGAATGTCTCCACTGACTGGAAGGTTTCGAGCCAGCCGTTCATCAGGACGCTGATGGTCGGCGGGCTGCTGCATATCCGAACACGTCCTCGGACCGTCGAGTGTCGAAGTTCCCCGCCCCATGTCAGGGACATACCGGCCCGTCTTTCGTTGATTGAACAGGAAAATACACAGTGTGCCAGCCGGCTTGATGCCTGTAGACGCGTGGGCATAAGGGCGTTACGACCAGTGGGGCGGTACTTTGAACAGGCCGCTGGGCGCGGTAAAATATGAGGCAATCGACTACGACGCACTAGGCATGGCCACGTGAGACCAACGACACCATCCACCACAAAGACACCGCGAGTGGTTAACGCGACTGCCTTAACCGCTACGTATCTGGGAAACTAGAGGTGCGGGGTTCGATTCCCCGCGGTGCCCGCCATTCTTGCCAGGGTGAGAGGCAGATGACGCCATATAGCATCAGCAGCTGAGTGCGTCGTAAGGCCCTAATGACATGACACACAAAGACACCGCGAGCAGCAGCTCGGATCATGAGAGATACGTTTTGACAAACCACTGGAAGCGAAACTAAAGAATACGCTAGCAATGAAGTGTCCGTGACAGCGGGAACCGAGTGTCACGGCAGAGCACAACCCAAACGTGCTCGACAGACTTCCGAATAGGCTGGGGTCACCTGGCCAGTTCGCTGAGCAAAGAAGACAAGCTGGCGAAGATGTTCTCATTGGGAAGCCCCTGGGCGGGTCTTCGGAAACGGTCACGGAGCTGCGGAGGCTGTCTTGTTCCCGAGACGACCAAGGACTCGCAACGATCTATCTAGTGGCCCCGTAAGAGCGGGCCCAGGCGATCGGTCCGAGGACGGTCAGCCTTTTGAGACGTGCGTCTCCCGCACAACGACGATGGCTTTAACATACTGGTGCTTGCCATGCATTTACTGACAGAGGCGTGTGTTCGTGTGTGCACGCTGCGTTCATTGCACACTGCACCTCACCGTTTAACGGCCGTCTGGGAATGACTCGTTTTCTGCATCGCACGCAACCATAGCGGCGAGCTGTGCGTGGCCGTGTCAATCAGCAAGCCGCGTGTCTCCACTGCGCGCACGTCGGTTCATATATTTACATAATGTGGGAATGATACATCGCACCCCACCAGTGATACAGGCACCACGTCAGGAAGCGAATGCTTCACAGCGTGCAGACACTAACATGTTCCTACTGCTTTCATAGCGCTCGCGCCGCCAGTGAATGACGGGAGGGGGACTAAATGCGGCACATACAATTAACATCGCATAGCTGAATATTAGTTCAAGGTGGATCCGAGGCGAGCCGACAGACATCTGCACCGTCGCGGCATCTTTAGCCCGGGAGTCGCCGATCACTTCCCAACGGCGGGAGCTGCTGAGGCCTCACTGCGTCGTGGGTAAGGCTCCGTTCTCGCCTGGAGGCCAGGCTCCGACCCCGTCCGTCGTGCTAAGAGACATGTTGTGTACGGGCCGAGTCCGTGACAGCGTACCGTCTGTTCAGCCGGAAACTCGCATTGTTCCGCTCTTGGACAGCTGGCCCACGATCGACTCCGGCTGCCGTTCACATGCGGAGTTCTGCCTCAGTGGCGTCAAAAGAAAGTATGGATGTGACATGTGGCATGTGGCATGAATGCGTAGCGTCTCTGATCGCCAGACGTGGGACACAACAGGCCGCGGCTGCCGAGCTTTGTGCCGCCAGTACCGCCTATGCTGGCTGCGACTCCTCGTCCTCACTCTCCTCTTCAGTGGTCGACTGCATAACGCTGCTGATGTACTTGACCAGAGCTTCTTTTAGGTTGTCGTCTGATGACTCTGAAGAGCTTGACGACGAATACTTTTTCCTCCTTTTTACGCGCTTTTTGGGGGATGGCCGCGAAGGTTCCTCCGGCGGCGGAGTGGGACTTTTAGAGAAGTCATAGCCAAACATCGAGGTCGGCTCCTCCACAACGGGGCTCGCACTTTCCAGATCCTCCAAATCCGACATCTGTCGAACGTGACCACGGTTAATACCAATAGGCGGTAGCAAGTTCTCTTTCTTCGCCTTCTTTGCAGCTGATTTTGCTTTTTCCGTCAGCGTCTTTTTCGGCTCTTCCACCTTGGTTCCTACCGTTGTGGAGGATTCCTGCACAGATGTCACATTAACAGACGGCTCACTTTCTAGGCCACTTGGTAGAGTTGTGATTTCATCTGACGATGAACTGTCGCCAGCGTCCTTAGGTATCTCCGGCTTCTTGGCCTTTTTTGGCCGTTTTCGTTTTTTAGCTTTTGGTTTACCAAATAAGCTATCCTTGATCTGGGCGACTTTGGACGAAGCTTTGCCCGTCACCGCTTTTTTCGAGCCTGTTGACTTGCTGCTGGTGTTTGAATGTTTTGACTTGTTGCTGGTGCTTGAATGCTTTGACTTGTTACTGGTGCTTGAGTGTTTTGACTTGTCGGAGCTCGATTCGTCAGAACCCTCCGCATCCGACTGCGCCTCGGCTGCCTTCCTGGCCTCGCGTCGCCGGCGCAGTTCCTCCAGCCGCCGTCGTGTCGTCCAGTAGTCGTACGCGATGTAGCTGAAGATCATGAATACCACGATTCCGATCAGTAGCTGTACCAGGTACTTGGTGTGGAATATGAACTCAGACTTGTGAACGTGGAAGGCCAGTGGGTTGCGGTAGTACAGTATGCTGTCGCACACGATGTTGACCCGATTGTGGATGACGATCTGAATTTTGGCCAGCGCATCCGCCACCGTCTCGTTCTCCGGGTTCATGACGAAGTAGAGCGTGGTGTTGGGCCCTGTCGGCCGCAACTCTAGCTTGCCCTTTGTATCCAGCAGGTTGTCGACGCAGAGCAGGCGACGCTGGTACCGGTCCACGCCCGACTGGAAGTACAGCCGAAATCGGCGACACGCGTCGTGTAAGTTCAGCGGCTCGAAACCCACCTGCGTTCTGTAGAAGGAGCTTGCGTCGACATGGATGATGGGTGAGTACCCGGGGCAGTAGTAGCCGAGATCCCGCCATTTGGTGCGGACGCTGACCGTGCAGATGTGGGGAGGCGCGCCCGTCAGGTCCAGGTGGATGTCACCGAGGCCGAAGATGCCTGCCGTTCCACCCCCGTCTCCTCTACGCAGCGTGATGTGCTTGTGACAGCCGTACAGCGACCTGTCCATTTTCTGTCCGTCTCTTTTGTCGCATCGCCTCCCCTTCCAACCGTCCATGCACAGGCACTCACAGCTGCCTGTGATGCCAAGGATGTTGGGATACTCCTCGGAGCCGACGAAGTCCAAGCAAGCTTTCAGCGATTGTCCGCACTTCACTGCGTACGCAGGCTCCATGCACTTGTTGAACGTATTGATCTGAGCGATATCGATATTGCGCAGCCCGAAGTATGTGTTGCTGCGGCTGTGGAGGATCACCTGGTCCTCGGCCCGGGGCGTGACGTGCACCGGCGCGTACTCCGAAGAGCCGTAGTCTATGGTGAAGCCGACCGCGCTCGCGCTTAGCACGTCGAACCGATCGCTTACGTTCTCCTTGGTGGTGTGGCAGTAGCCATGCAGTCCCCGGCCGCCCTCGTCGGCCAGCATGTAGTTGGTGTGCATGTGCTGGTAGCCCACGCCAACGGCCAGGCTGACCAACCGAAGCGCCATAGACGGACTGAGACACGTCTCGTTGACCACGAGTCTCTGCGGGTTGCCGCTGGCGCCCAGCAATGAGTAGCAACGATCGCCAGCCTCGATGCAGATGGAGCGGGGGGCGCTGGGCACAGAGTCGGCACACGTTGCGCCGTCAGAAATCTCCGCCGTCTCCACAGTGACACAGGTCTTCTCAGAAACGTCCTCGATGGCTTGCATGAGCCATTTCTTGGCGGAGTCAGATATGCCTCCTGAAGAGGAGAAGAAGTAAGGCACTTTCACGCTACCGCTCAACGTGGGCCAAGGATGCAGTGTTTGTTGAAGGAATTCTCGTGCATTCGCAGCGTTTTCGTCGACATCTCCGAAAGAGATATACTGATTGTACAACAAAAACCCTTTGTTGAATTTCGCCGCAGCTAAACCAAAATACGCCGCTCGAGTTTCGTCGAACGATCGTCGTAATCTTAGGAGCTTTGATCTGTTCCAACTGATGGCTGCAGTTAAAACTTTGACTTTTCGTAGCAAGTTTCCACGCGTCGTATTTACATATTGGCTTTGGCTTGGCGCATCCTTGGCGGAACGACTAGGTTCGTTGGCGTTCACAGCATCGAACGTAAGTGGTAAATCGTCCCAACTGGTTGAAGACACTCTAGTGAATGGCAACATCGTTCTGCAAAGGCACATATCGACACACACGCCGGGGAACATAAATAAACATAGCAAATAAACAGCATACGCCATCACAGTTGCGCGTAAACAACTGGTGATCGAATTTCTTGAAATTTGTTATGAGCAGATAGATGCGTGCATAATTACACCGATCCTCCCCCAGGAAATCGCTCCACGCATCATGTTGAAGGAAATGAAGACATAATCCATTGTCAGTCATTACGCTACTGACATATTTCTGCTACACTTCGACATGCCGTCACATGGCTGGGCAGCGAAAGAGCGGAAGGCGCCACATCAGCGGGGAACGCTTTGACTTATCTCACCAAATACGCCCCTGCTTCCATGGCATGAGGCGTCCACCGACATCTAAATGCCGGACATATAACCCTGATAATACGTGTTGTCTACCAGCTTCCTCATTGCCCATGGTCCTTTACTATCAATAATCGCCTCGCAGTCGACTTACGAAATGAAAGCGGCGTGAGCACCCGTTTTCCGAAGTCATTTCAGAGTAAACGTGCCTTATCCATGTTACGTTGTCAGGATTGAATGCGATACTTGGATTTCGCAAAACGGCACAAAATAAAAAAATGCAGATTGATCGAGCCGAAATCTAGACCTCCTTCTGGCTTTAAGCTAATCAGACTGATCCCATGCAGCATCCCATCCCATCCCATGACCAACGACAGCATCAGCAAAACCATTGATGGAAGTGGCGTCCGAAATGTGCTTTGATTCCCATGGGAACTGCCTTGCAAAATACCGCACATTGAGTTGAAATGGAAAGCGACCATGTCAAGCAATAATGCTGGCATTAGCAGCATCGCACCATGTTATAGGTGAGCGTACGCGAAAAAACGCGTGTGAAGAATCAACTTGTTAGAATTGAGGCTAATTTATGAGTTTTTCGGCGAGCCCAATGAAAAGGCAGCTTCGGGCATAAACATACAAACACAGGGGATTTTCACCATGTATTCTGTTAGAAACGGAACGAATGTCCCGACGTACTGAGACCGAGCGCTCGACTGAGCACGAAGCAATGGATATCCATCCGATTACCGACATATCACACAACAGTAACATCATACCACGCGTGAAGCGCTGCACGGATCCAGAAATCCTTCAACACAAGGATCAAGAAAATGAATTGCAAGGGACCCTGGGAGAGGACAAAGCATGTGAAACACGCTGCTTTTTGTTGAGACAGACAACAATCATCACAACTCAATAGTTTTCTTCGCCTTGAGCTTTTTCATGCCGCGGCCCACTGGACGCCTTAGCAGGTTGTTTCCAAACAGCCGGATCTTGAACCCATTCACGCTCGTCTCGAATATACTGTGCTCCTTCGGTATGACTGAAAGAGATTCTCGGATGACATCACCAGAATCATGCTGATAAGAAACCAAGTGTTTGTGCGTCTGGAATGTGTGGACATGCATCGTACACACCAGACGCTAAAGCATTCTGACAATTTTGAATCAGTTGTAAGCGCAAATTGACATGAGCATGATAGAAAATTAGGCATTGCACAGCATACCAATAAGGACTTCTACACGGAATACCACCACCATGTAAGAGAAACTCGATAAGTAACAAAAAAATAGCACGCTCATCTGGAAGTATTTGCAATCAACCATCAGACGAGGTCCGTGTTCCGGCGGGCGGCGTTCAAACTAACGTTTGAGACGGTTGTCAGGTGTGATGAGCTGGAAGGTGCCGCGCGTCTCCAGCAGCACGAGGCCGGACACGCCCCGGTACGAGGCACAACGGGAGCGCAGCACGCGCAGCAGGGCGCCGTGGTAGTCGGCCCGGCAGACCTGCAGCAGGCAGTGCTCGGTGCGGCTGTCCCACGGCTCGGCGCGGAACCTGGCGGACGCACCCACGACCGGGCAGGGAGAGATGCGTCATCGAGCTACCGTTAGCTACATACACGAATGGAGAGGTCGCGCAGGGTGTTTTCAAGCAACACGGGCGCGTCACATGCAGTGCAAACGCCCAGCACAGCACGTTTACCCAGCACATAACGGCAATGAGTAATAAGTCTCTCCCCCTGCACAAAAAACCGACGGACGGTGGCGGTCCGCGCAGACAACGGCCGACTGGGGAACACGCGATATCAAGACCAGCCCGGGGTACTTCAATGCGTTTGCATTGCATCGCGCGTTTTGATCTCATTCATCACTTTTGAGGAACTCCCGACACTTGCTCGTCTTGATAAGGTTCAACATCGTACTACGCTCGCCAACTTGGCCTGCAACTCCAGCGCTGGCATATCAAACATGCTTACCCCTGCCCCAAGAGGACATCTAGATTGAGGTAGTGTCTCATATACTGAGACCACATGTCGTTAAGTGGCAGGTAGTTGTCAAACTTGAGCCCAGTCCTGCTCAGTTTATGGAGGCCCAGCTCTCTTCTGCTCCGAGACGTTAGTGACCCCTTCCGGAGTCGCACCTGAGCCTTCTTCTTGTTTTGCTTCCTCTTGGACATGACGATACTCTGGGGGATCACGCACGACGCCAAATTAGCCATGTAAAGAGCATGAATATCAATGTTCTCTGCTGCCTGGAGAGTCATCGCAGCTAGACAGTGTGTGCTGTTGGCATCAATGACATTCAGAACTGCAATTAAGTTGGCCTAGTACCGCATCATCTTCGGGTCTGGATCCAAACAGATTTTCTGAGTAATCAGAAGTCTTTGTTCCACTTAAGGACAACTGGGGACTGCCACCAAAACATGGCAGCATAATGCCATGTTTGGGGCAAAACTGTTAACAGACCAGCTCCCAAACCAAATCTTGTGAAACAAGCTTGACAAAAAGGCAAGCAGATATGTGGTAAGACTGCCACAACTCAGGCATACTTTTCCAATGTGAGGTTTATGTTTTTGAAATTAGACTTAAGCCTGATATAATTTGAAGAGAAAATTAAGCATTTCTAAATAGACCATACCAGAATGCTTAATTCTGGGAAATTTTGGATTCAAGACATCAAATACAGACACCACAGCCCATTTCTAAGACACAAACACATGTGTAACCCCAACAACAATTGCAGTCTAATTAATTAGCAAAGACTATATTCATTTTGATCCATGTTGTAGGTTTGAGAAACCAGTTCATGGTGCTGCAAGAAAAAACTTGACTCAGAATGCTCACATGCTGAATTATTTCATGTCGCATAAACTAATACAGCAAAGCTAGAATAATCAAGACAAAACAAAATAAGATAGGTAAATAATATGCCTGCTTAGGCTAACTAGAATTAACAAGCAGCATCTGAAGTGTATTGATAGTTGATGCTGTCTTTGTACTATGGGAAAAGTTGCAATTGCTTCATACCAGAAATCAAAAAGTAAGGAAAGGAGCATTTTGCATTTGACCAAGGCACAATTCTTGGTTACAAAATGTCTTGGTTAATAGACACCAATGAAATAAGCTCTTCAGGCAATAAAAGAATGATTTCTTTAGGATGAAGTGTACATATTATTATTACCAATTAAATCTACCCTCACCTTAGTCAGAAATGCCTCTTCAACTGCTTTAGCATCTCTACTTGGAACACAGGCATTAATGAAGGCTTTGATAAATTCAGCCATGGTACATACAGATGGTGTCTTCTTTAGTAGGACCTGAGCTGGTTTCTGAAACAAAAAAGCTCCCTCAGACTAACACATGTTGAATATGGGGAACATAGATACACAAATGTAAAGCATGAACACCACTGTGAGCAATAGCAAACCCACAAGTTTGCACCATTTCTAGTTAGTTTAACAGATATGGTGCTCATACATATTAAATACAAGACTAGATTGTATTGCTCAAGTCATAAATGCCAAGATTTTAAATATTCCCTTTAACATTTGAGTCTGTTCTTCTTGCCACCATTAACAAAACACTGAGTGGCCACAATGTCAATTTCATAAGGTGAATTGTTCCAATGATATGATTACATTAATATTGACCATCCCATGATCTAGCCTTGCTGGCCTTCAAGCACTGAATTGATCTCAAATGTCTTAGGTATGCTGTTAAAAATAAAACATAATCACTGTGTGAAAAACACAACATTCCATCATTTACATGTGCAATATGTGACTTGCATACATAAACCATTCATGCAATGAACCCACACTTAACTCTTGTCTACACGGATGTCGCCACAGGAGGGCAGAGACAAGTTCCCACCTACTCCGTAGACATTCCTCACGACATTGAAAGCTACTCTCACTGGAAGATGAATCAATAAAAAATTAGCATACAGCAAATAACTAATAACTTGCTTATTTGTAAATAAATTTGCATCTCTGGCCTAAACACCTGTTGCTTGCCCATGGCAAACACTTCCCACAGACTTTGTTGTAATTGGGAATTGAGAACACTGTGATGGAAGTTGATAAAAAATCTAAAGGGTTATTGCTAATGGGCAATTATGTTCCCATCACAATAAACCATGCTTCAGTACTTGTGTCTTCATCCTATCATTAACTTGAACTAGGTCAGAAGTGGCACCAGCAGTTTCCTTAATACGTCTCCTAAATACTGGTCATGGATGGCAAAAATGTGTCAGGGCACTGCCTTTCCTTCGACCGATATATCTTACATTATATGCATCAACCATATCTTATATCTTAGACTTGTGCAAAATCATATGTGAGCCCATATATCTATACGTCAGACCTATCAATCCCACCAGACCTATCCGTAAGATAGCCTTGGACCTATTTATCTCGCCTTCAATTGCATTTTCTCTTAGCGGCTTCAACTTATATTATTCGCCAAGAGAGGGAAGCAGGGCATCGTAACTGGGCCCGGTGGCCACTTAACAGGGGGGGAGCACGGGAAAACGACACACGCGCAAGTTCGCTTTGATAGACCAGGCAATACGGAAAATATGGCCAACAAGGACCATCATTCAAAATCTCGATTTCTGGCAGATATGTGGGGAAAAACGCAAGATAGCCTTGGAAAAACCCGCGGGTAAAAGCTTGGTTACGTCGGGTCCCGGGCCGTTACCTCCTCCCGGTACTATCCGTACGTACCGCGGGGCGAATAAGTGGCGAATAAGTTCCTCTCCGGCGGTCAAGTCTAGTATAAAATATGGCAGCAACTGTGCACATTTTACGACTAGCTGTTGGGCTCTCATGTTAAAACGCTGTTCTTCAGGCCCACAGCTTTTGAAATCTTGAACATATATATGCACAAAAAGTGCATAGAAATGAAGCTTGAATAACTATCTTTCAATTTCTTGGATAACAAAATTGCGCCGTGGCACTCCTTTTTGAGCTATCAGGTAAGGCGCAGACCAGCGCGCGCGCTGCGATGGGCAGGTGTGGGATCGAATTCCGTTACGGCCAACCCTTTTCAGCAGAGTTGGGAAAGAACACGGAGTGAATGCGGTCACTGACCGGCGGTAGAACTATTGAGTGCAACGACATTCTGATTATATATATATATATATATATATATATATATATATATATATATATATATATATATATATATATATATATATATATATATATATATAATCTCTCTCTCTCTCTCTCTCTCTCTCTCTCTCTCTCTCTCTCTCTCTCTCTCTCTCTCTCTCTCTCTCTCTCTCTCTCTCTCTCTCTCTCTCTCTCTCTCTCTCTCTCTCTCTTACTCTCTCTTTGAGGTCGAAATTAAGATCACTGATATATTTTACATCACTTCCTACAGCACTGCAGAGGGTACAGGACCTAAACTATGAGAGACGGCAACGTGCTAGCTTGACATGTAAACTTGATGGCATGCGTCTGCCTAATGGTACAAGAGCCTACAAATGAGTTGGTGCCATTCTTCACCGAGGATTTACTCGGAATTCTGGTCATTACCAGTGCATCATCAGAAACGATGAACAGTTTTACAAATGCAGCGACAAAATAGTTGACGTCATAAATATAGCGGCAGCTCGCTCTCTCCTGTCTGTGGATGCTTGCGTATTAATTTATCGGGGAAAAGTTCGTATGCGATCGTGGCGAGAGGAATAACTTCAACGGGCGTATTTCTCAATTGCTCAACTCTGGCCGTTTCTCAGGTTTCTTCAAAGCATAAAAGGGGTGCTTGAGCAACAAGCGTTCGTCATGCCTCCGGGAAAGGACGTGAGACTTACTCGGTAAATCACGATGCCTAAAAAAGCAACTGAGTGAAATGCGTTGCCTTCGGGCAAGTGACGAAATGGATGAGCAGCGATGGCAATACGTTGCTTTGCACTATGTGAACCAATTATAGAGGCTTGCGCAGCGTTGTGCAAAGCCTTTAAAGGGCACCTGAACATTGATGACCTGTACGGAACCAGCCAACTACGAAGAATCGCGCATTGACACGTCCCAGAGGAAATGCGCCGCCTCGCGTCAACTGAGGGAAAATGACGTGAGGCCTGCTCAGTGTTCAACTAAGCCTAAAAGGAGCACCTGAGCGACAGTGCGCTGGGCGTGTATTCCCCTGCTGCCATCCAAAACACGCAGCGGGGCGTTTCTCAACTTTGGTTCCGCTCCTGTATCTGCTCATGGCCAGTGTTCAGGTTTTGGTACATTAAGTTGCCATCGTTGGAGAAGCAGTTGCGATGTTATATGCAACCTGCCCTTCTGCAAACGGCAGACATCGCTATTTTGTCATGTAACAGTAAAGTTGCGGTGGCGCAAATGGGTTCAAATTTTATAACTCGCTTATCGGTAGCTTCTTGGTAACTCGCTTATCCGCAGTATCCATCACTGTATGACCTTAACGTCATCCTGTCATCCGCGCTTACTCGTCGAACGTCAGTCATCCTGGGATATTTGTGACCGGAAGTCATAAAGGTATCCTTTTTCCGCTGGATTTGGTATGAGTTATGATAGGAAACAAACATCAATCGCAGCTAAGCAGAAGGATTCCATATCATGAGCGAAAACAGAGAGGAACAAAACACTGCTCAACGGGAAGCGTAATGTTACAACAAGCTGCAGACATGTGGCGGGCATGAGAGAAAGCTGGAATCGCTAAGACATCTGCGCCATTTGGAATAATTGTAATGGCAACACTGGGGTTGCAGTTGGGTGTTTGTTTTGTCATTGGTAGTTTAACGTATTCAATCGATTGAGATTCGATGCGCCTCGAACCAGTGTCATATGATCCCCAACCTAGTAGTCGCTTTGTACTTGCTATTTTCGATGCGTTTTCTGTCGCAACGTTGTAGCTAATCCCCGCCGTTGCCAATGGTGTGAGGAGTTTTCCAGCCTCCATTAGGGCGCTGAATTCGTCAACGACGACGCTGTCTGCTCGGTGGTTTTGATAAAAGGAACCATCCCGCGTTTTTTGTAGTTTGCATTTATGGTAACATCAGACGCGTACGATTTGATAAGTTACACCAGTTATTCTCGAAATTCTTCTGAAAAGCTGAGAATTTCTGTTTGAAACAGCAGACCCTGCGGGGAATCACATTTTGACTCCCTACAAAGCGTTGATAGCATCATTTGCAGTCTGAAATAATCAAATTTGGTATCCTTATGATGTCTTGGTGCTGCAGTGCCGCCACGCAGTGCTGTTACTAGACATAACTAGTCCTGAGGTTCTCCAAAGTATATTTTTGAAAAATGCCTTCAAGGTGGGACGCTCCCTTTCATCTTGATCACAATGACGTATATTTTTCAGGGAGGAGAGCGGCGTTGGCGACCCGATGCCTCCCCAGGCTCCAGTCGCTCCCGCTCACCGCACCGATGGGGCGGCAGGGGCAGGGAGAGGGGGCGGGACAGGGCCTGGGCAGGGAGGGGCCTCGCATGGGAGCCGCCGAACATCAGTTGTAGTGTCGTTTGACCACCGCATCCTGATGTGTGGGGACTCCCATGTGAGGATTCAAAAGTTTAATCGTGGGAAGGATTTACGAACTCAGTGGGTGGGGGGGGGGGGGGGGGGCATTGTCTGTCGGTATAAAACCATTCGAAGGTTCCGGCAGAGTGAGGGGGGCTGACCCGCGTCGTGGAGGCCAGTGTGAAGTGGGCTGTGAAGGAGGAGGTGATGTAGGCTGTGAGAGTGGTTGAGTGTATGTGTATCCAGGTTAGGTGTGATAGTGGTATGCGAGTAGCTGACTGGGTGTTCCGGCTGATGTTTTAGATGTTCTGTGATTGTTTGATCGAGATGTGTGATGAGTGTGTGGGATGTTTGACCCAAAGAAGAAATACAGAATGACGTTTTTTAGATGCGTTTGGTTTTCGTATTTGGAAGTGCCGTTTTCCCGTGGTAAGAGGCGGAGGAAGATTGGTCGAGTTCGACAGGAGTATATCGGCGTTACAAAGTCTGCAGTGATAATAAACCCCGTTCCCTGAAATATCGCGTCGACAGCGAGCCGCATACCTCTAAAGAGGGCAGCCCGGCCTTTTTTAAAAAAGCGCCAGCTTGTACGCATGCTAACAGCTTAGTTAGCTTAGTGGTGTGCGTGTGTCTCTGTGTCCGGATATATTGGCGAGACGCACAGCGCAACTGATCGCGGTGACATTTGTGCACGCCATGAGTGCAACCTTTGTGACATTCCACGACGCTTTTTCACGCCGCTCCGACGTAGATGACGGCCGTAGCGTATGCGATAAGGGAGCATTTTCGCGGGTTTCGTTACGATGAAACCTAACGTGGATGGGGAGAAAGACAGAGCAAGAACTGAGGATTGAAAAACGTCACTGTCGGCTCGAGCTGGAACAAGCTGAGTGGCCCCGCTTTTGGCCGCTCGCTATGCACTAGACACAAAGCTGTAGAGGCATTTAAATTGCACATTCCACCAATCCTTCGAATGTCAATACTTAACACGTTGCAATGCAACCCATGGCAACGACGATTAGTGCATTAATCATGAGTCATAAACATCACGGGCCGGGACAACTGCGCGCTTCACTTGCGGTACCGACCGGTGCACTTAAACCTTATCCACGGCTCTTCCGGTGGCTTTTGGTAACGCTTCACCTTGACTATGTTGTGGCCGTAGCGGACTGTGCCGACACCGGACGTGTTGTTAAAGGAGCTACCTACCATTGCAACAGTCCAAATTCATGACATTCCTGTGCGGCGATGTCAGTCACTACCCCAGCTGTGCATGTTTTGTATTTGTGACCGTGGCGGCCAGTGTGCCGTGTCCAAGAGGAGCAGCCGGCGTCTGTAACTGCCGCTTTGCCGCCGTGTATGATCCGCGGAACGTCCTATTCCAAGAGACTCCCGTGCTCCCGACGTGCGTCATGTGGTGGCGCTCGCTGCCGGAGTTGCTGGAACCGACGTACCTGTGCCATGCTGGCCACCTCCGCGCGAGAAACACGGGATTCCTGCCGTCAATGCCACCGGTTGCTGTACTCGATGCCTTTGTTCTGTCGAGCAACGCGCCGGACCGGTGCGTTGATATGTAGGTGCCAACACGTCGGGTGAACTGACTGCGTGGTGTGGGCATGATAGACCTTGTCCGCTACGTCGTTGTTTTGTAGGGTCATGATAGGAGCAATCATGATGCTAAAATACAACTGAATGTAAGCGATCTTTGGTTGGAGGCACCAGCGAATTAGCATCATCTGGAGATGGCGTCATCTTTTGCTGCCTTCCATGTAAGAAACTCAGTGGCTCTGTACATTTACCCCTCTTCCGCTTGCGAGTGAAGTTGATCATACGTTAATGTTCAACGGACAGCATTGTGATGAAATCAAATA